ATGAATTCAGCAAAGTAGCAGGTTATAAAATCAACACCTATAAATCAAAGGCATTTCTGTATATCAGTGATAAATCCTCAGAAATGGAAATGAGGAAAACTACCCCATTTGTGGGAAGCTGACTAGCACATGACCGTGTCTGACTCCCCTGCTGACCGGTATGGCATCTGGCGGTCACGCTGTGATCTTGATAGCCCTGGTTTTCTAGTGTGCAAGCGACTGTGTCTTTGTGCATGGGTGTACCTTTCTATATCCCCTTAGGTCGAGCTATGCTCACCTTTTCTTTTGTAATATTACCCCTTGCCCTGTTTGGGATAGAATGTTCCATGGAAATACCCTCTGTGTGTCCTCTTCTCTGCCCTTGGGTGTGGCCTATCTAGATATCAGTCAACCTGCTCACAGCAGACATCATGAAGCTAGACTCAGCCCTCTGAGACCTGATCCCTTACCTCATTTGAATGGCTTCTCCTCCATAAAAGGGGTCAGCACGCTCGCGCTCTTTCTGCATACCCTTAAGGTCAGAAGAGCCGTCACAGCACTCCATTTCTGTCTCTTGTGTGGTTATTTCACACAGCCCAATTAGCCCAGTTCCTGAGTGTTTTAGTCGGGTGCAACCAGCCACCCATTTACAATAGCCTCAAAAAAATAAAATACTTGGAAATCAATGAAAGAGGTAAAAGATCCATATAATGAAAATTACAGAATCCTAAAAAAAGTTTTAAGACCTTAGAAAATGGAAAGATCTACCTTGCTCTTGGATAGGCAGAATTAATATTATCAAAATGACAATACTTCCAAAAGCACTAGACAGATTTGATGCAATTCCAATCAAAATCCCGATGACATTCCTCATAGAAATAGAAAAATCAATTGTGAAATTCATCTGGAAAAATAAGAGACCCAGAATAGCTAAAGCAATCCTTAGCAGGAAGAATGAAGCAGGTAGCATCACTATACTAGACCTCAAACTATACTACAGAGCAATAGTAACAAAAACAGCATGGTATTGGAACCAAAACAGAGTGATAGACCAGTGGTACAGAATAGAGGTCGGCAGAGACTAACCCACAAAATTACAATTATCTTATATTAGACAAAGGTGCCAGAATATGCCTTGGAGAAAAGATAGCCTCTTCAACAAATGGTGCTGGAAAAACTGGAAATCCATATGCAATAAAATGAAATTAAATTCCTATCTCTCACCAAGCACAAAACTCAACTTAAAATGGATCAAGGACTTAGGAATAAAACCAGAGACCCTGCGTCTAATGGAAGAAAAAGTAGGCTCTAACCTCCATTATGTGGGATTAGGCCCCAACTTCCTTAATAAGACTCCTTTGGCACAAGAATTAAAATCAAGAATCAATAAATGGGATGGACTCAAACTAAAAAGCTTCTCCTCTGCAACAGAAACAATCTGTGAGGTGAATAGAGAGCCTACATCTTGGGAGCAAATCTTTACCCCTCATACATCAGGTAGAGCACTAATCTCTAGATTATATAAAGAACTCAAAAAGCTAAGCACCAGAAAAACAACCCAATCAATAAATGGGTCAAGAACCTGAACAGACACTTCCAGAAGATGATATACAATCAATCAACAAATATATAAAAAAATATTCATCATCACTAGCAATTAGAGAAATGCAAATCAAAAGAATGGCAGAATGGCAGCTATTATGCATACAAACAACAATAAGTGTTGCTGAGGATGTGGAGAAAAAGGCATATTCATCCACCACTGGTGGGACTGCAGATTGGTGCAACCAATATGGAAAGCAGTATGAAGACTTCTTGGAAAATTGGGACTGGAACCACCATTTGACCCAGCAATCCCTCTCTTCGGTCTATACCCAAAGGACTTAAAAACAGCATACTATAAATACAAAGATATGAAAAATTGTGCTCTATATGTGTTATAAGAATTATAATGCATTCTGTTGTCATGTATTTAAAAAAAAAAAAAAAAAAAACAACAAAAACAAAAACCCAGCATGCTACAGGGACACAGACACATCAATGTTTATAGTAACACAATTCCATAGTTCCAATAAACTGTGGAACCAACTTAGATGCCCTTCAATAGATGAATGGATAAAAAAATGTGGCATATATACACAATGGAATATTATAAATAAAAGAGAATAAAATCATGACGTTTGCATATAAATGGATGGAGTTAGAGAAGATAATGCTTAGTGATCTTAGCCAATCCCAAAAAACCAAATGCTGAATGTTTTTCTAATATAAGGGGGCTGATTCATAGTGGGATCTGGAGAGGGAGCATGGGAGGAATAGATGAACTCTAGATAGGGCAGAGGGGTTGGAGGGGAAGGGAGAGGCCATGGGGTTATAAATGATGGTGGAATGTGATGATCATTATTATCCAAAGTATACGTATGAAACATGAATTGGTGTGAATATACTTTGTATACATCCAGAATATGGTTTCCAATGTCCTGATGGAGGGATTTTTTTTTTTCCCAACAGTGAAGAACTATTTGTGTCAATATTTTGGCAATGTAAATTAGAAGCACCTTAAAATATTGTATTCTAATGTGTCATTTTAATTTCATTAATTTTAACACATAATACATTGACTTGGTTTACATTGACATGGTATACAAAAATGAAAAGTTTAATTTGAGTAGCTTTTGTCACTCTAATGCCTCAACCACATTTCTGTTACTTGTCTTAAAATGTTTGCATACACAAATAATTTTTGTATGTTTGTGTATATATTTTTTTCCTCTTCTTGTACAATTCTAGCATGCTAATTCCATTCTGCACTTTGATTTTTCATTTTTTTTTTAATAAATCATGTAAAAATCATGAGAAGTATTCTGTAATTCTGCTTCAAAAGATTGAAGTGGTGATCACAAAGAGTGCTTATGTGATACTTTCTTGTATTT